TCCCCCCCCCTTCCCCTCGATCTCTCTTCAGAATATTGCTTTTCGTTTTTTCCCCGCTCGACGCCGGCATTAAAGTAGTTGCGAAACCGACGTACTTACCTACCGTTCCAGGATGGATATTTTGTCGTCCTCCCGTGGCTAAAGTTATTTTTTTTCCGTTCGTTAGGACGTAATTAGAACTCGGATGAAACGATAAATGTTATTCAAGAAAACCGCTCGCAATTGTAGAAGCGGATTTTATTTGGGAATGGAGTTCGTTCTGAATTCATGACGGCCCGCAGCGACAAATCAAGGTTTTCCAAGTAAAGCCTTGTTGTTATGCAAGTCCGGACGATTCCAATTTTTTTTTGTTATGTACAATCTCGAATACTGATGTTTAACGAGTGAGAAATGTCCAAATAATTTTTTTATCACTTTATCTTATATTTATCAGTAAAAAGAGTGGTAAAAAGATTTTCTTGTGACTGATTCAATTTCCTTGACAGTTTGTAAACCGCGTTTGCATCGAACGCTTTATTCATTTACTACATCCTCTTGAAAGTGAATAGAATTACAACGGCGGCTATGAAATTACATTGAAGCGCGGTAATGACTCTTCATTTCCCGGTGTCTCTTTGTTTCTGGGCACCCGGATTATATGAGGGACGTTACATTTTTCACTTTGTTCCGATTTTTATTTTGTTTCGTGCTGCGAGCAACAAACGAAAATAAGTTGGATCGATGTCTGTCGCGCATGGCCCGTCGGATATTCGATCGGTAGGAGCGAAAGGTGAGAAGATTTATTTCGAATATGCCAGAGATGAAATGCGTTTGTCAAAGCGTGATGTTCTCTTGTTCATAACTGCACATTTTAATTTTATTTAATTCCGTCAACTGATACGCGAACGTTCTGAAATTACGCGTCGGAAAAACGGATTGCCGGAGTGATTTATTTTCATTGTCACGCAGAACGCGAACTATATTTTTACTTTATCGCCACGTATTCGAAGGTATCATTACGTTCGTTACGGAGGCATATTTTTTTTTTGCGTCGAAAAGATGCAAGGCGCGGGTTTGATTTATTTCTTCGCGCTACAAAACCGGCGGAATTTTCACGCTCTGAGATAAACTAGTAACGTTATACGAACGCCGTATCGATCCGCCTCCCGCTACAATGCATAAAAAGGTACGTCGTCGCAGTCTGTCTCATGCATCATATGCGTCCCTGCAGCTTTAGATGTCGATACGTTTTCATGTTTCGTTTCGAATCCTTCTATTCATTCGAGAGCGGATGGAAATGTGGAAGCGAGTCGCATCTCGTTTCCCGAGTTTTTATTTGATACAGGATATTCGTCGGAATATATGAGGTTTAACAGTGAGTGAGCGGAATTTATTATTACTTAACGAATCTCACGATTCCGTTCGGTAATAATATAATTACGACATTGTTTAGCATTGGAAATTGACTTAACCTGCTTGACGAATCAAGCAAAAAAATATCACGAAGGCTCTGATTTTTTAATTCACGTGGACAAACTTTAATTAAATTTTAATCTGCAGTTTAATTGTCAAGGCATTTTATAAATATTTTTGCGATTATCTGAATATCGTCTCGTTACAGTTATATAATTGCGTCGGTGGCATTGCGTTTGTTCAATAATTATATTGATATATTGAAAATTGCGAGGCAGAAAGTGACGTTGTTCAATTAAAGTTTTATTAAGGAACGATTAATTTCACATTCGTTAAAAAATTATAATGAATGTTTTTATTGATTCTCATACCTCGGCGGACGTCGTGTACATGATATTGGCAACGAACATGGAACCGGTATGGTAGTTATTTTTTTCTAGGGAACATATTACAACATTACCGAAGATACATCGCAATCATTTCACGAATTAAACATTTCCTTTAATATGTATACGGATGGGACGTTTATTGATGTCTTTCCCGTTCGGTTTTATGGTCTATTTCGACGGCTCGATTCAACGGACGAAGACGAGAGTCTTAGGCGAGGATGGACAATCAGCTTATTTCGAGCTCACCACGTAAAATTCCTCTTTGTTCCGATACCGCGATCTAAGAATGAAACCTAGAGAGCCTTAACGTTTCCTTCCGCTTTTTTTAACGTTCTCCGTCACTCGCTAAGCTATAAGTAAAAGTACAGGGGCTGCCTGCTTTCATAAAAATCAATTTTTCCACTCGCAATATTACGCGGAAGCGAAATACGACTCGAAAAAATATAATTCAGTTGCATTATCAGAAATTTCTTTTGATGTTCGTAAATTACAGCACTAAATACTTTTGAAAGATGTCATTTAGTATCGGAATAAGTAATGAAAAGAGAAATGATACTCAGTGCGCGCCCTAATAGGACGCTATAATTATGGCTCTCGAACGTGAAGGTGCATTCTTGCGTAAGCACCTTTATGATTTCTCGGATACTGGGCGCAGCACGAGGTAATTCTTCAGCGCATAATGAGATTAAATGTCTGACGTCAAGATAAAAATGCCGATCATAAAACAGTTTCATTTCCTTCTACCTTTCTCTCTGGACACATAAATTACTCCTCTTGACTCTTCGTAAATTTTTCGCGATATTTATGAAATAGCTCTTCATGAATAAATGCTATATCGGACGGATATCGAATTTCCGGAATAATAAAATGATCTCGTTTTGCACGTCATGTAAATTGTAAACGCGAAAGGAAAAAAAAAGAATAATCTATTCTCGTAAAAACAGAAAGAAGAAAAATTTTTTAACACAAAATTTTGCTCTGACAACTGCCAACAAATCTCTATTTCTATTAATGCCTAAGAAAACAGAATCTCTAGTTCTATTAATACCTAAGAAAACAGTAACAGTTAAAATTCTGAAGAGAAATGACCAGAGGTGCCAATATGGCGATCTAATTTCAAGCTCTTTGTCAGTCATTTCGGAGAACGAAAATGGACGTTTGCGTTTGCTTTTCGAAGCTCTCACGCGGATATCTTCGTTTAGCGCGACGCAATTTAGCATTGCTCGCGCGGCAAATAGGCTCGAAAGCATTAAGAACTTCGGGATTTACGCGCCTCATTTACCGTGATCAGCCTTAAAAGTTACGCGTCTGGCATCGGGCTGACTCATTTGCGCAATTGCACTTATCGTGAGTGCGAGGTATATATATATATATATATATATATAGGCGGAGGAGGGTACAGCGACGTCTCGTAAAGCATAATGCGAGGTGCTTGCGCCGCGACGCTCTTTAGAAATCGGCTAAATGACGCGACGAGGAAAGTGCATTTTTGCCCTCCATAATATTCATACACTACCGGGCGGCGTTGTTCCGAGAGCTTGCCGGGAGTAACGCGCGCATCTCGCGGAAAGCGTTTGGGATTCCGGGAACGGCAACCCGTGAGTGCCGGTGAACACCCTCGTATCGCCTGGCAGATATGGCGAAGCCCGAGATTGTGGTAGCTCTTCACGTAGCCGTTACATCTCCCTTTCGTCGCGCACGGTTACTTAGGATTTTTTTTCTTAATTTTTTATGGGACAAAAGTCGTTTGATATAAATTCATGCTGTGCTTTCGGAAATTACAAGTAACACGAAAAAGTGGGAGGGAGAAGAAAGCTACTACCGAGTCATTCTCCGCGGGGCACTTTCGTCTCGTTAACGTTAGGGGGATGAGTTACGCAACTTCGAATCTCTGGAGGGTTTCTCCGTTCAGTTCTCTCAAACGGCAGCACGTCGATCGGATCACCTCCCCTCCCTCCGCTCCTCTCCTCTCCGTTTTTATCGTGCAATATGAGCCGAGCTGGGACTTGTTAGGCGAAGAGTATAGTCCATTCACCTCTTCGCTGGTGGGCAAGCTTGTGCGAGGGTACACAAAAATCCGCACGGTGGATACTGAATTATTCGATCGACCTGATTACGAGTCTCAGGGAGCTGCCGAGCAGTTTTTGCACGCGTTTCGAGTTCGGCCGGCCATTATTTATCCGTGATGCGGCTTTAAACTCTGTGGAATAAAATATGACTCTGTTATTTGTAGTTTGGAGGAAATGCCCGACGTCTGCGACGTTCCTGCATATTTATAGCAGTTATTTCTGTAGCCAGTTCGGCTTCTCTACATAACGAGCCTTAAAATTGAATTGACTTGAGCTATTTAATATTACAGGGGCGATTCCGCGACAAGTCGGAATCCGAAATTGGAATAGCGGCTTAATTTAACACTTTGCGTTTGATTCGCTTCAAGTGCGTCACGTAATTTATATGCAATTTCGTGTGTTCGCAGCTCGTCGACTGAACGAGTACATCCGCCACTACGAAACGCTGTCATATCCCGTCGAGGAGGTCCATCGAAGCCACCTGAGGGCGAAGAGGTCGGTCAACCGCGACAGTACCGTGACGTTGAAGTTTCGCGCGCACGGCAAGGACTTCCATGTCCGATTAAAGCGGGACTTGACCACCTTTAGCAACAACCTAATCGTCGAGGGATCCACGGGGGAGAGACAGCACGACTGCGACGTCTCCCACATTTATCAGGGCAACCTAATCGGTATGTTTTACAACAAGGATATTTACATCATGTTTTCGACGAACCGCGCGAGATTTCTCTCAACCATTATTAAATTTGTTTTGGAACAATAATGCAATTAAGGTGAAAGAGTAGTGTAACACGAAGCACAACTCTGAAGTTGTTTTATATATAACATGACACAATTCGAACAACGTTACAAATATTACACAATTCCATTCTCTTGTTCGATTATGTACGAAGCTTCCAGGAACATGCTTGATTTGATACTATTATTTTAATGAGACAGAAATCAGGATTGACCGCTTGCAGTTTTTGTTGATATTTCGGTAAATTTAACATTGCGATTTTATTTGTATGTGACCTTTCGAAACGGACCATGTATACATCAGGTTCGACGTTACAATATATTTGCCATTGATTGTGCCAAAATTGTACGTCACTTGCGATTAATTTATTTGTTGTTTTCTTCTATTCAGAAACCGGTACTTGTACATGTCTTCTTTCTCAGTACAATATTTTCCAGTTATTTCTATAACATCTGTCGTTAGAATAAAGCGCGGTAGTTCAAAGATACCTCGTGTATATATATAATAATGCTCGAGAGGTCTGTAACTTGAGCAGTATATATGTTATGTACCTATCGACGCATTTTTCCAAATATAAACTCGTATTATGACATCAAGCTGGCAATCTTCTCGGTGCCCTATATATTCGCATAAATTATGCCCGCGATGCATGTAAAGTTACACGCAAGATCGATCGGTAGCGATTGTACACGGACTTTCTACTCGCGAGAGGGTCCGCACGTATATAGACGTGGCGGCGTAAAATTGTATGAGTTTCTGGTGTTTACACACGTACTCGCAACATCCTTCGAAAATATTTATCGCGGAGAAGAAATAGCGGCGTTTCTTTCTGCAAAAGTAACAAAACGATCGCACGTACGTCCAAAGGGAAGCGGTAAAGGCCACGTAGAGAATTCGAATTCGTGAATATCGAAACGCTGATTTTGCAAATTATAGCGAGGCGCTAAGCTTTAGCACTTGAATCTTTATTTGCCACTGTCGTATTAATAATATCATTAATTTCGTAATAGTACCTATAGATAAAACGAAGATATAGCAAGGCGCTACATATCTTCATTTTGCAGATCGTCGACAGGACGTCGAATAATCTTCAATGCTACAGATACAACACAGGATATTGCAGGAGTGATGTAATTACTTAGCGTAAATTATCGATTAAACAATATTATTTTTCACTTCGTGCCAAGCGAAAATTAACTTTGACGGAGGAATTAATCTTGACGTGACGATGACTTGATGTTACAAGATGTTTATTATTCTAAAGTCACGATGAAATATGGAATCTAATCAAATCTCGCGGAAGGAGAAAGCCGTCTTCGGGTAACTACCGGTAGAATACGTTGCTGAAGTTTAACGCTGCCCTTACGTGGCACTCTGCATATTCAAAGAACTTCCGTCAAAATAAACTAAATTTAACAGTAGTGGAGAGGGAAGCGCTTTCATCTGTACAAACAAAGAGCCATACTTAAATTTATAACCGCGGCGCACTCAGTGGCCTGTCCGACCTCCGCGTTCGTTTCGTCGCCGGTAACGTATTCCCGGTTGCCATTCCAGGTCGTGCAGCCTCGACGAGGCGGAGACCATTTCTTTGTATCGCTTCCGCGACGTTTTCCCCGATGCCAGGTGTGGCACGCGAAAGTGCGTGTCGGCGTAGATGCCAGGTGGAACCTTTATCTTCGGTCTAATGATACATGGCATGCAGTTCAGCAAGCAACGTTACGCTAATCCAAGCGGGAAACGGTTTATCTATCACGATTTCGTATCATGACTTTCCGCGACCTGTCCCTGGTCCCGGTCTCCGTCGGATAATGTCACGAAAGAGCATATTTCAATTTAGGGATTTGAAGAAATTCTGAGTCATCGGTTTAGCCGACGTGGCTCCTTTATCATTGTTACCAAGTTCCTCGAAGTATTCACGCTTGTCAAGCCTGTGGGGAAACTTTGTGACTCTAAACACAAAAAATTATTCAGCTATATCTTATGTGCTTCAAGTTTTTCGGAATCAAGAAAACCATATAAACTTCTACGTGACTTTAATTTGAACGGGAATACTGAAGATTATTTCTTTAGATTTGTAATTCTAATTTTAAAAAAATAATTTATTTGAAAAATCTTTATCTTTTTTTTTTGTACAAAAAATCCTATAGATGTTATATGATATACATTGCACTGACAATGAGAGAAAAAAATGATTACAATTATCATAATGTATAGTTCTCTTCGGCGCCAATTATATATTTGTTTGGTATAGAACTATAAATATAATTATCATTACTGAAATTATAGAAATAATAACTATAAAAATGGTACTTTTAACCATAATTATTTTACCATGCAATTATAGTTGCAAATACCAAATATCTTTTCTTTTAGGTTACATTCTAATCATTTCTTTTTTGTTTAATATTTTTATATGTTTAAAAATTTTAAAAATAATGTCAGTACTAGAAATATGTGTGTGCGAGCACGCGAAAAAAGAAAAGTGACATTAGAGGCCGTCTGAAACCGTTTTCCGTATCGGAAGCGAAAGATTCCATTTGTTCTCGAGTCAAAAGGAATTTTGAATTGTGATAAGCTCGGGACTGTGCGGGACGACTTCGCTTTCCTGCGATCTATTATCTAAAGAGAAAAAGGATATGCGCGAAACGCTTCCTGAATATTCTCTCTGTTATTGTCGTTTATCCGCTATCTGCAATATGCTGAGGTTTTTGTCCCGCGCTCTTAATGATTCAATACTATCTTTTCACATTGGGCGCGTTAGTCGCAAAATGTGTCGCAAAATATTTTCCATGCATAATACGCGACGGAGATACGATTCCAACCGTTTCCTTTAGAGCCAAATGTATTTCTGTCGACAAACGTGGCTCCTTTGCCACAAAGGAAAATAAAATATTCATTGCACGTTTTATTGAAGAAATTTTCAAATCGGATGATATAACTGTGGAATCTGTGAATTCCCGAATTTCGCAGATGATTGACAAAAAGGCATTTTTCTTTTTTCCGTTATATTACTTCCTTTGATACATATATTAGTTTCGCAAAATCTATTTTATAGAGTTGGTAAGCGTTCTTACGAGAAAAAATTCTCAAAGGCTACATTCATTCGATTAAATACGTTTCGTATATTGGAGGATTAATTAAAAAGATTATATATGATTATATCAAGATGCAATAAGTTACAAGTAGAAACTAAAAGATTTTGAATTAAAATTATTAGACAAATTGATTGGTACAAATACAGAGAGAAGTATTTCTTTAGACAAATATTTCTCTTAACAAATTTCGAAGAAAACATTCGATATTATAGATGCAGATTGGATTTCTTAAGTCATTTCCCGTAGATTTTTAGACGCTGAATACGAATCAAGCTGTAAAATTGCTCTGTTTCTTCAGATTCATGAGACTTCAGATTTATGAGATAAATGAGATTAAAAGGGCCAAGCATGGTGTTTAGACAATATTTATATATTTATTTAGAGAACATCGAGTTTTCTATAGTATATCTGCTTACGCTATCATATAGTCAGTTTTGAACTGCAACATCCATTTTGAATCATCCCTATACAATTTTTTTTGTCCGAGATAAACAACATCTAAAATACAAGGTTTATAATGCTAATGAATGCACGCAGTATATGTGTCGCACAAGCTACAAAATTTATAGGTTAACATGTTTAATATGTCGCACACAAGCTATAAGATTTGTGGGTTAACATGATTAATTTTAATGTTTTACCTTAATTTTTACATTGCGTAAAAAATATAGGTCAAGTACGATTGCGTGTATTCATATGCATTGCAAACCTCGTATCTTAAATCTTGGACAAAAAAATCGTACGAAAACGACTCAAAATGGATTTTGCAGTTTAAAACTGATATCATATGATAGTATAAGGAGAAACACTATAAAAATCGATATTCTCTAAATAAATGCATGAACATTGCCTAAAACGTCATGTTTAGCTTTTTGAATCTCATTTATCTCGTAAATTAGAAAAAATTGACAGCCAGATTTATATTTAACGTCCAATATTATTTGAATCTATGGGAAATGATTTGAGAAACCGTGCCTATCATGTCGACCAGTGAAATTATTTCAAACAATCGCGTCTTTTCTGTCAAACAATATAGTTTAATGCAACAAAACAAAATTTCTATGAAACACAAAATAATGTTTTATTTAAACTTATATTGTTTTACTGAAATAAATATAAGCCAAACAGAAAAAACACAATTTGAAACAATTTTCTTTCGAAATTTGTTAAATCTAAAGAAATATTTCTCTCTGAGCAACTTCTAACATAAAATAACCGGTATATATTATGTTAACGTTTATTCACAAATAAGAATTTTATCTCTGATTTGTAAATAAATGTTAACAGAATAAACAGTTATTGTAGGTTAAAAATAAAACAATTGAATCAAAATTAAATTTTTATTAGCGAGTTATCGGTAATTAACGATATAGAAAGTAATTGCTTTTGAATTTTAAAAATTATATGAGCGGAAATTGACACAAATCATTTGTATATGAAGTATTTTGTTACTACAGAGAACACATTCTACATATATCAAATTTACATGTATATAAATTCTTCAACGCAATAATTAAATCAAGTTTCTATTTTATTCCGTTTAATTTTTAAAATTTTTCATTCTCGCAAAAAGATAAAAATATACATGCGCGCTATTAATTTTCCTACATCCTGCATCCTGGTTAAGCGAATAAATTAGGCAGCGAGACAGCAGGAGCAAGTTGCTGCGTAAGCCAGCAGTTTCTGGTGCAGAAAGTTTTGCCGAGAAACGAAGTTTCCGCCATCGTCGATACTTTTTCAAGCGAAGCGAGAGTCACATTCGTTCGAACATGGTTTCTTACTCGCATGTGCGTTTCCAAATATTCGTGTTGCTTCCATAATTTTCTTTTCTTTTCATCGTAACAGAGGAACAGAAAAAGGATAAAAAATGAAAAATGAAAAATTGTTAATCTTATTTCAATATTTGGAAGAAAGATATCTGTGTTTTTGGAAGATGTTATAATTATTTATGTATATATATTTACGAAGTTTAACACGTGATTTTTTTTAATCCACCACACACTAAATGATAATCTGTACTTTGCTATAAATAACTTCACTCGTTATACTCGAATTGAACGAGAGGCTTGGGCTCTTAGAAAATTTATCGCCGCGATTAATATGACAAAAATTTCTGCAGATATTCTTGACACGCGTCTGATCAGGAATATATCTTCTGCTTTCAGGTGAACCTGGTAGCCACGTGTTCGGAAGCGTCAGTGATGGAGTCTTCCACGGGAAGATAGTATCACCGAAAAGTGGTGCGTGGTACGTGGAAAGGGCGCATTACTACTTTCCGCCACACGAGATAAACGAGACGCTGCATTCCGTGATCTATCACGAGAATGACGTCGGTGATCCGTACGTGGACGTTCGGCAAGGTGAGGTGCAAAAAAAAGAAACAAGATTTTTTCTACCAATTATTACGGACTATATTACGGCCTATATTCAAAACGCGCTAACGATTAAATATTAGAACGCTAACAGTTTAGCTGTAGTTTACGTTATACGTGTACATTATAGAATTTCAGAGGTAAAAGCGCGCGTTTTATCGATAAAAGCGTTCTGAATACGGACCCATTTCTTGAGGCGTTACATTATTGTTCGTGCATAAGTTCGCAAGTATATTTTATTTAACAGGGAGAAACGACTTTTAGCTTCAAGCATTTATTATAAATTTGTTATAAATTTTCAATACTGAAATATCCGACGTTATTCGTTGCCCTTTTATCAACAGTTTATTTCATACTTTCAACAACATGCTTTCAAAATATTCAATTACAAAACGTTCAGTTTTAATGAATCTAAAATTTAGTTGAATGCGTAACTAAAAGAAGTAAAAGCATTTTATTCTTTAAATTATAGCTTTTTAAATATCACAAAATATTTTGCATCGGTATCGTACGAATCTTTTCGAGATTACGCCGATTTCCAATACTTTCGCGATTTGTGAAGAAAATTTGCAGCGAATAAATTTTTCTCCGTTACCTTCGATCCTTACAAGCCTTTTGATTAGCTTATGTAGCTTATTTATATCTTCGTAAACTTACGGACGGTAACATAAATATAGTGCATCGGGCTCGAGTCGCGAAAGTTTGTTTAATATCTGATCGAAACAACTTGCGTAATGACTTCGAACAAAGTCGCCGCGAGCTTCATTATGCACACGAAGAAGCAGCGTGTACCTGCCTAATATGCGTTCGAAGAATATGATAAATTTAGATTGGAAACGATTTAAGTTAACTACCGGGTTTGCGATAATAATTGTTACGTCCGTTCGTGCATGAAAGATTTACAAATTATAAGGCGGCCGGCGCGGTCCGAGAACGTTTTTAAACGCTCGTTTGGACATGTTGCTCCAATGCGGCTTGCGCTCGAAGTGGCGCCTCACGACATCGTGCACCTCTATCCCATTCTCCACCCTTTTGTCACGCGATGCCTATCTTCCGCTCTCTTCTCGGAACATCTTCCGCTTTCTTCCCTTAGCACGATCTTTTAACGAATCGTGCTTGAAAACACCGCCGTCCATCCGCGTCTCAGAGCCGAGCCACTCGCCTTTTTAATGAAAGGGTCGATTAATTAAGGATGATTGTAATAAGAGGGTTCTTTCATAGACATGTTAATGAGCTCTCTGCTGCATTCTAAGGGTAGAAATGAACTTGTACGTTGTTGCATATAATTACTTATACATTGTTCTGAGATGCCCCTGTAAAGTTAGCTCCCCCCCCATTATTTAAAAAATTAATTTTTATTTAGAGTTCTTCTATAGATTTTCGATAATTCTCGAGTTCTTGATAGTTTTAAGAATAGTTCTGGCCATTAAAGATAAGAAAATTGATAGAACTTTGCGTGGGTTATCCAGAACTCTCTACAGAATTCTTAGAACTTTCAAAAAAATTGTTCGTACTTTACAACTATAAAGTCGATACATCGTAATCGTCCGTAACTTTTTCGTTTTCGATTCTACAGATTTTCATTCGAATTTTTAATAGAACTTCGCGAGAGCTATCACAGGGGCTATTGAGATATATATTTTACCGAGAGTTATTTAAGCAATATGGCAATCAGTGTACATTTCTTTAGGAATATATTGCTAGTATCGCGGCAATGCAATACTAGCAATACGCTATCAATACATAGCAATATCTCGAGCAATACATTAGCAATACATTAGCAATATTTGGCAATATTGAATATTGTGCAATAGGTGGCAGTACATGAGGTAATAGATGATAGTACATAGATATAATATATGGCAATATAGTACATAGAGATAATATATGGCAATGCAATATTATTGACAATACGAAAGCAATATAATAGCAATAAAGTGTGCTGTATTGCCATAATTAGCACTGTACATTTTTTTAGTAGTGATTTAGTAGTGATCGTATTTTATTCATATAAAGTCTCCCCGGCAATAAAAATGTATATTATATTTGAAAATGTAGCTTCTCTCCTAAGTAAAATTATTTCCGAACTTGTCGGAGAATTAGCCAATTCGTGCGGAAATGGCTAAACTCTTGGTATTCCTCCATGTATACGCATACTCGGGAAAACGAAGTAGCGAGACGCAAGATTGCGTCGTTTAAACAGTGGATTTGGATATCGGAAAGTCCACGGTACGAATTCGCGTGCACCATTTGGAGTATCGTTATAGAGGAAAGTAGTTCATTCGGGATGGGGCGCGCGGATGGAATTGTGCCGCGGGAGTGCAGTCTCTCGTTTTTCGAATCGGGCATAGTCAGCGCGGATGACTGCACGGACGACCGGCTTCGGATTTCGAGCTGCTGCGCAATCCGCGCCGTCGTCACCGCGTGCTTTCTCTCTCTCTCTCTCTCTCTCGTACAGCAGTAGTGCAAACGGCCAACAATGAAATAAACAGACCGGCGCATTACGTGTAATATTTATCGCGCCGCCCGTCCATGCATGCCGCGCGCGGACCGAATCCGCATCGTCTCGCGCCGCTGTGCTCGCCCGCCGGAAACTGTACATCCGACGTTATGAGTTTGCTACATTTATTGGAGCTTTGCACGAGGCACGATGACGCGAAGGAAAGCGAAGTGGAGTGTGGTGCTTCGCATTCTGGGACCAACATACACATACACACTCTCTCTCTCTCTCTCTCTCTTTCTCTCTCTCGGAGCGTAATATATTATTAGACACGGATTAGAAGCTAATTCGAGAAAATCATAGAGGAAAGAGATATATAGAGTAAACTGGTAAAGAAATATAGTTTAAACAAAAAAAATTGAGTCACGAGAGAAGAGCGAAGAGAGAAGAGCTGAATTTTTTTTAAATAGAAAAGAAGTAACGATTCTCGATTCACGCGTGAATTTTAAATGGTGCAGAAATGTGCCATCCGCAAACTCTGACGTGTGTTAACGAGTGAAATATGCGCCGGGAAAAACGGGCGCAGTCGATCCCATTCGTCCTGTTCGGCGCATTTCTTTCATTTCCACCTCATGAAATGTCTATTAACACTAGCGCTGGTGGGCGACGATAATAGACAGCAATAGCACAGACAAACCAATATCGTCACACCTGAAACGCCGCGTCATTAAAGCTCGCGGCTTACGGTTAACCAGCCAATAAAGCCGACAGCCACGATTATCTCAGCTGTATCGGCGGGCGATGTTTATTGGTTCGTATACTTATGCGAAACGACTGTACAGAAGATGAGAGGGAATATCTGTAAAGGGATACGATATTAATCTCAGCTCGTTAACGTCGCCGCATCGACAGGTACGAACCAAAAATATAATATTCTCATTCTATATAAACGATAGAATATCCCACTTTGAGAGTGTAAAAAAAAAGTCAATAACTCTGCGTGCAGCATACCGAGGAAATCGTAAAAATAAAAGTAGAAAAATTCCGCTCTGCTTTCACCTGAAACGAGTTCGTCGAACTTGTACGATTTACGGTTAAAATTACGTAAAAGTAATGAGGATTAAGAGAAAAGAAGGAGCTGAGGAATAATTTACCTTTCAGCAAATTAATCTTTCTAGCTTCCAAAAATGGTAAAGGATGCGAATATCGCGCGACGAAACGCGCTGCAAACGTTAGCAAATCCTCCGCATCGCGTGAAGACGTGTTTCCTCCTCGGAAACCAATCCGAAATCGTGCAAGTTGGTTTCCGATGAGCCGCGGCGCGTTCTCGCACGCGTATGCAGACACATTTCCGCGCGTAACAACGTTGTTATGTACCACGATACGACGCCCGGGAGACCACGACAAGGTCGCCATTAGCCGCCGCATTATGTCCATATATTCGCTTCACGCAGATACCTCGAGCGTATTGCGGAATTGTGCCGATGATTAAGCCGCGCCGCTTGTTTCGCTTGACAACGCGACTCACGCGATTGCAGATTGCAGTTTACGTGACCTGGCTTCCTTCCGCGTCGTTATTATTCGCTCTAATATTCCCGTCCAAAGACATCCCCTGAATATAGACTTCGGCCTATCTATAGGGGAACTCGAAGCCTCGCGTGTATCTCGGCCCCATCGATGATGTAAGACTCCCACGTGGCCATGTGGATGTTTCGAGTTCCACGACCAGATTCAGAATTAATGGCAATGAACTTTGCCATTAATTAGGAACCTCGCGCGGCGCTTCCTGGCTTACGATTCACGCTCTCCCAGATTTTCATCTACCGTAATTCAGAAAGCAGAAATACCAGTGGCCTCTGTTATTACCCTGCTGTTTCCGAGCTATGAATAAACGTCTTAACATGCAAAAAATTAGCGATTTGACGATTAGTTATCGTTTAATAACTGCAGGTGACAAGCTTTATCGTTAGAAATTGCTATAGTGTTTTATCGTTGCAATTCTTACGATTATTCTTATCAAATAAATTGTTGGACGTTATGTATTCTTCCACGCACAATATTTTTAGATATCTATATAAAAATATATAAATATTTGCGGATAAAAATATCCGCAAGCTGATATCGACGACAGAAAAAACTTTTTTCAAGCCAGATGCACATTTTCTTTACCCACTATAATTGTTATGTTCTTAAAACATATTATATAAAATATAATATAAAAACACTATATCAAATGATTGTATCGAGTCGCATGATGAATTTTTCAGGTGACGGCGGCGGATGTGGAATTACTAATAGTGATGTAATAGAATGGATGGAAAGGGTGCAGAATTCCGCCCTACCGGACGAACCACCTACGGCGGCCCCGTCCGCGAATCAGAAGGAGCCGAAACCAAATGTCGCACCCTGGAACGGGGACCGAGAGGCCCCTGGTCACAAGTACAGTAGAGAAGCTAATGAACCTAGTCATCGCAGGCCACGAAGAGCAACCAGGTCGAAAGAGAACAACACCTGCTCGCTCTTCATACAAACGGACCCTCTTATATGGAGGCACATTTCCGAACAGGTACGTAAGGTTTATTTCAAGTCTACAAATTCTCGCAAATTCGCTGAAAAAAATAGCCCTGCAAATATTTTCAAGGCGATTTTAAATCTATGCAATTTCTTGAATAGATATACATTCTCTCGAAGATATTAGATACTTATATTTTTTTAAACGCTTTTTCTTTTTCTTTTTAATTATATTAGAGAGAATATTTGAATGCAATTTATATTTTAACAAGTAAGATTTTTTATTATTTCTTTTATTTTATAAAACTTATAATTAAATTTTTAAAAAATTCGGAATATACGAGAAAAATTAGCACACTTAATTAAATTTTAATCATATTATATTATTTCACCTTCGTGATGTAATTTATTCAGAATTAAAAATTAAATATTTTTTTCCTATATCCTGTACGTTCTTTAATTTATCGAGCGGTAAAAAGAACGAACGCGAAAAAACTGTCATTTGTAATCATGTAAATTGTAAAAGAAGTAAAGGCAGGATACCAGATTGTTAGAACGACGGAATGACCCAATTCTCGCTGGCAATTTGTAACTAGGGAATGCTAGTATTTCCTTACACAATAGAGAAATACCTCGAATACCGACTGTTCTCTTTCTATGGTCACATTCATATGCGTTTTCGTCGGCAGCACGGTCAGTGCAATTCCCCTTTGCATTTTCTCAACAAACCAGACACCATCCGCATTCCCGTGTTCTTTGCAAAAAGAATATTCCTATCCCCCGTGCGCCCCCGCGGTGTTCCGGGGCTTTGATATCACCGTACGTTTGCATAGAACACGTTCCACCGAAAGCAATTATAATGATATTTTTAGATGAATTTTTTCGAGCTCTTTTTTTTACGAAAATTTGCAGACGGCTTTGCTCTCAGAAAATATAATGACGTTAAAATTTAATTGACGTTAAAAATTTAGGAAACACATTTGTATATGAAATTTTAATAAATGCAGACGTTTATATATAAACGGCCACGCTTTTTGTATAAAATTCGTAATTTGAAACTCGAGATGTTTTGATGTTGGAAATAAAAAAGTTGCACGTCGGACATTTCGTCAAATACGAATATATCGAGAGAAAAATTCTTATAATACCGCGTCGCGTAGAATAAGAGAACGGAGCTCTATCTCGGGCAGTTGCCACGGATATATTCAGCGTTTCGTATTTTTCGCAGCTGCATCACGACGCGGAGAAAACCAGGGAGGAAATATTGTCCTTGATCGCGCACCATGTCACCGCCGTGAATTACATCTACAGGGACACGAAATTCGACGGCAGGACGGAGCACAGGAACATCAAGTTCGAGGTTCAACGAATAAAGGTAACGGTATCGCGCCGAAAAGTATAGCATATATACCCGCCGACGTGTGAATACCCGCTCGCTCGCTCGCTCGCCGGAACTGACACACCGTGTCTGCTGTATCTGATAACAGATCGATGACGAGACGGCGTGCACGCCTTCGCAGCCGTACAGCGACCCGAACCCCTTCTGTTTGGAGAACATCGACGTTAGCAACTTCCTCAATCTCCATTCTCTGTCGAATCACGAGGACTTCTGTCTCGCCTACGTTTTCACTTACAGGTAAGTAAAGTACGAATAAACGAAAATACTACCGTGTGTCACTTAAGGTTGTCATGTTGTAAACATTATTTCTCGACGCTTTTACAGGGACTTCACCGGCGGTACGCTCGGGCTCGCCTGGGTCGCTTCCGCGTCCGGCGCATCCGGCGGTATCTGCGAGAAGTTCAAGACCTACACCGAGACCGTGTCCGGCCTGTATCAGTCCACTAAGAGATCTCTCAACACCGGCATCATAACTTTCGTGAATTACAACAGCCGCGTGCCGCCCAAGGTGTCGCAGCTGACTCTGGCGCACGAGATAGGTCACAACTTCGGATCACCGGTAAGCCGGAGGGGGAAAAAAAAACCGCTTTTCCATACACGTGCGTTCAGTCTGTTCGGAGCGCAGAGGTAACGATGACGATCGACTTTTTTTTCCCAGCACGATTTTCCGCCGGAATGCAGACCGGGAGGCTTGGACGGTAATTACATTATGTTCGCCTCGGCGACGAGCGGAAATCGACCGAACAACAGCAAGTTTTCAAAGTGCAGCATTGGCAATATCAGCAACGTCCTAGATGCTATCGAGGATAATAAGAAGAGGAACTGTTTCACTGGTATTTTTACATCACATTTTCCCTTCACGCTACAGTGGTCTTCGGAACGGAATGAGCGGGAGAGAAACGTTTTGCCTCTATTATTTCTACTTATTGCACTTATTATTTGCAGGAGCGTTTTGCGGGAATAAAATTGTCGAGGCTGGCGAGGAGTGTGATTGCGGATACGACGATGACGAGTGCGTGGACAAGTGTTGCTATCCCAAGCAGGTGTCTGAGCTGGACAAGATTAAGAATGACACGGCGAAAGGTTGCAACAGGAAATACGGGACACAGTGCAGGTAAACGCAAATGCGTGCAAGTGAAACGCGCGACATTGATCGGTGGCCCCCTTCGATTCATACTCTCACGAATGTAATTATATGCACGTTTGCAGTCCCAGTCAAGGACCCTGCTGTTCGAGTGAAACGTGCCAGTTCGTGCCCCTCTCCCATAGAGTCCAGTGTAGAGCCGAATCGGACTGCAATTACAATTCCACGTGCGGTGGAAGGTCCTCCGAGTGCCCGGCGCCGCTGCCGAAAGCCAACAAGACTAGATGCAACGAGGGCACTCAAGTAATCGCGCTTTGTTATTCTGAGTGAACGTGTAGCGATTTAGCACGGCCATCGATTTCAACGACGCGTTTATTTTACAGTTGTGCATCAACGGGGAGTGCACGGGATCCATTTGTCTCGAGTGGAATCTGACGGAGTGCTTTTTAACGAGCAGCATCATACCGAACATCGACAAGCGAAAGCTCTGCGAATTAGCCTGTCAGAATGGGACTGATGCGTCAACGTGTCGCGGGACAAGCGAGTTTGCGCACATGGTGGGACTGCCCGAGGGTGGAATGAGCCTCCGACCTGGTTCTCCTTGCGATAATTTTCAGGTAAATTATTGACCTTTAAAGATGAAACACGAATTATTAAGCTTTCTTGGAAGTTATATGCTCATAAAATTTTTATTTTTTTCCTTCAGGGTTACTGCGATGTTTTCTTGAAGTGCCGAGCCGTCGATACGGAAGGACCGCTTGCGAGATTGAAAAATCTGTTGTTCAATAAGGAAACTTTATCGTCGGTAGCGCAATGGATAACTGTAAGTATTGAGCGTTTTATATGTGAGTCAATTGTGACTCTTATCTCTGTATTATATATGTACTGACGTTGCCAGTTATCTGTTTCAAGGAATTTTGGTGGGCGGTGTTGTTAATGGGTATAGCTTTCATCATATTTATGGGTCTGTTTATCAAATGTTGTGCTGTACACATTCCTTCCACTAATCCTAAAAAGCCGCCTGCAAGGCGCATCAGTGATACGTTAACCAGACCGATGAATACCCTTAGAAGAATGGTAAGAACATACGAGTTGCATTTACATAAATTTGTGTATCACCGCTTGAAATAAGAGATATTTGGAAAGTCATTTTGTTTGTATATCACTTGTCATTTGTACAGCGACATCCGCATGGTGGTGGTGGAGCTGGGCCCAGGAGTATACCACCGAGAACAAGTCAAGGTGGGCACGGAACGCGTGGACCCTCTCACGGTTACGGAGAGGGTAGAGGTGCTCAATATTATCCAAAAGGTAAATTATAGTCAGCCGCGTAAATCTCGAGTCATCTACGCATTTCTCGTTGCTTGAGTTTAGTTCCTACGCTTGAGCACCGATTGACATATATGCATACATCGTAAAAAAAATGCGTAAAATGCTCTGCGAGCGCGAAAGAAAGGATTGCTAATGCACGGATTAAACTCAAGCTAACGTTGTTCGCGTTTTCTCGTCCTTGTGTGACCCGCAACTACATCAATGTCTTTTCCTGTTTGCATCTTCCTCGCATTGACGCGCATCTATGACTACCTGATACTATCGTTCTATGATCTGCAGAGGTGAGCCTGGGGCCTATATTCTTACGCTTAATAGGAGCAAATACATGAATGTCAATATTCATTGTCTTACAGTGTAAAATGCAGCTTTAAGCTCGAGACGAGTCTAAATATCTACGAAATTCTTGTATTTGCTCCTAGCTCATTGTTCATGGCATTGCATTGAATGCTAGCTCTGAATACTTTTTCTTTCTCATTCATATATCGAAGCCGAACACCTGCTTTCTGATTTCGCATCATCGACTGATTGATTCCGTCATAAATTATTTAGATTTTCCAAAATAATATTATAATATTATAAAAATTAGCTTCCATAGGCTTCTACTGTACTATATTTGACATTCTCGGGAGCTCTTTAGAAATTATTATTTGAATATTTATTATCTACATTAAATATATAAAAGAGAGAAATAGGCACGCGGAGGATACTCAGAAAGCTTGGAGATCGCGGCGACCGTTTTCCCAGTGTCGTATTTTATTTGGCTGTTATCTTGTACACAGTGGCAGCAAATCCTCTGTCCCCCGCATTTCCCGTCGTTACCTTTTGGTTTACGCGTTTTGTTTCATTGCCGAACATCTTTCTAAATCTTTAAGCAGGATATCGCTCGGTTCCCACAGCTAGTGCGCCACCAAGTAGCGGGTCAGCAGCAGACAATTACGGCCGTTCCAATCACCCAGAACTGTATGCCGGCGCCTATTCGGGCTCCGGGGGAGGGGGGCGGAGCGCAGCATATGAGATGAGGCATCACAACAAGGTGTGACGATCCTAGGACGTCGTCACGGACGAGGACCACCAATCGCGGCGTTGCACCACGGGTCGTTGTGTAGGACGATTGCCAAATGCGAAGAGAACCGATCCACTCTCCACGTAAGGGATGCGACGATGTCTCATAACCGAGGTCGAAGCAATAATTGAGACGAGTTACAGTTGACAATGATCGAAACACACAGATTGAGAGATCCGGCGTGTTATGCTCTTTCATCTGAAGCCGCGTAGAAATTCACGTAAAGAGCCGCGCGTAGATACAAAAGAAAGTACGTATTGAATCGATCTCTCATTTTGTATCGGTTTGGTAGACGTTGTAATTTAACGCGGAAATAAACGTTGCGCGCGAACGGCGACACGGAAAATCGATTTGACCGGAGCCACGGTGACGAGAGCATATTAGCGAATAATCGTGAGCGCCGAGAATTTTATATATGTAATCTTTTTTATGTAGCACCAAAATGCGATCTTTCGCGTCGCCGTTCAAAGAAACTCGTCGCACGATCAAATCTTAGAATGCTTCGCCAAGTGAAGGTGATATTGTTATATGATCAAAGTAATTTAAATCGATCCGACGTGTGATTCATTTTCGCTTTAGTGATCGACGCTGTATTCGCAAGGCGACGATTAATGCGGCAGTGTTAAAGAAAAAAAAAAAGTAGCGTCGCATCCTCGCGACTACGAAGATTTTAAGGCCAAGAATCGCGTTACGGTCTTTGTGTGACGGCGTCCTTCGAGATGTCGATACTTCGTGCATGTCGCTCTCGAAAGTTAGATTAAGTGGAGAATCTCTGAGACCCTGTTTGTTAGAGATTAAACACAAGTTTAGTGGGAAATTGGCAATAAGACAATATATGTCCTTTGGTAAACGGCGCGCACCTGTAAATGAGTTTTCCAAGGGCGACTTGTTGTACTCGTATTTCGTTGACCGACAGAAGTATAAGGTGAAAAGTCGTCTTTTTAGTTAGGTCGAAATTTTATTGAAACGATAAATCTAATTTAATTTTAAAATTTAATCCGGCAGATGTAACGCAAAATGGACAAGAAAATTAGGACTGTCTTGTATAAAGTATCGCCGTTGATCCTTTTTTTTCACAATTTCAATAACTAAAATATTTTTTAAATGGCTTTCTGGAGCGAAATGGCACCCTCTACCATTACCAAACCATCATAGGTCATTTACTTGATCTCTGTACCATTGTAGAATAATAATTAACGATATGTATTATTCTTATACTAATTTGTATTAGCCAATTTTGAAGCGAGAAGTTATGCGAGATTATGATGGATATAAGAGCAGCAACAACAAAACGATGCGTTTCTATATGCGATATTCCATTAACTATTACACACGAACGAAGATGATATTATGATTATTATTAAGCTACGCTAATTATTATTATTATTATTATTATTAATTAGTTGTAACTTGCAGATGATAATTTATCTCCGCCTATTGCGAATGTTATAAGTTATATTTAATTGAAAAACGAGTTTTATAACATGCTATATTAAGTCGGGGGCTGCACCGTAAACACGCAATTATGCGTATAGCGGACCAAAGATGAGCCCTCTTATCGAAATGCGTGAACATGTTATATTATATTATATATATATACATGGGCTCACACACGTACACAGCTGCATACTCGTAAGCGAAAAACGCGAGAGATCGGTTCTTGTCCTCGAGGTGAATCGTATCTGGTGCTGTCAAACCGTTGTCGATACGATTAATTAATGCACTTCCCTTCTTCGAAACGCCAAATCTGACAAATGACTGAGTTCTTTTTCGCTCGTTCCTTTATCGACGTCTTTATGCAACAGGTAACATAAACGTCGAGAGATCGGTGTCCGCTCCTGTTCACTGAATTACAATATTACAATATTACAATGACATAGATAATGAATAATAACGAGCATACGCGTGACATTTAAATTTAGCGATAACTTGCTCGAAACAAATCATCTCAGAGAAAAGCAGTGTGATAGAGATTAAATTTATTTGTTTTTTATCCAATTTGCTTTTATGATTTATTTTTATCACTTTTATGCGATTTATACCTTTAATGTAACAATCGAACAAATGCAATTTTTTGCCAAATGAGATTAAATCAGACTAGCTTTGACATTTCGCACGCGCGCGCGCGTCCATTTCTTTATAATTACATAAAATCGTTTATATAGCAGAGCTTATTTTTTAAACTTTCAATGCAGCTAAAACAATAATGACACATACTGATTGACACACACACACACACACACACACATTTTTGTAAAATTATGAGTAAAACGAGATTGAAAATTTGGCACTGATCTTTTTTCAATCATGTAGAAACAGAATATTAAAAAACAGGAATTCAATAGCATTTTCAAATATCGATTGGTGTGATCAATATATCTCTATGTCTGTGTCTCCGCAATTGAATTACAACCGCCTGCGTTGTAACTTTAAGACTGTGTTTTACCTAGGCGGAAAGTTGGATATAGGGATGCAGAATTGAAACGAGGAGGTGCCAGCAAAGACGCTACAATACGAGTTTGCGGATCGTGTGGATATGTACAATAGACGCAATGTGATTATTAGGTGGATCATACGAGGTCTTGTGAGAGGGAAAGAATAACGAGCGAGAGGAATTATACGAGAAAATGGGACGGAAAGTAAAAAGTTCTTCGGGCGTGCGAGGGAAATATTTGTGAGTGAGAGAGACGCGAAAAAGATAGATCGCGAGTGTGTATATCTGTGTAAATATACCGATATATTATAAAATGATTATATAACCATAACAGATGGTAAAGCGAATACAAAAAAAAATAATACTTGTTTTTTATATCAGATCTGTATTATAGTGAAATATTATTCTGTATTTTGTAATCAGAACGGAAGTTTAGGGATGACGTGCGAGTGTCTGTACGTGCGTGTAATCGAGCCTCTAGATTTTAAGTATGAGTTTTTTCTTTGGCGATCCATCGTGGACCGGAGGAATCGTACGTTATTTAGGAAATTTTGAGATTTCTTGCGTATAGGCAAAAAAAATATATTCCGTTTGACCCCATTCGCAGCCGCTCGTAACATTATATTAACGATTTAGTATGTTTCAATGCAACAATCCGTGACAATTTACGGATGAGATTTTACTGCCAATATCGAACGTAGCCAGGTGTGATTCGTGATTTTCGATTGATTTTGAATACGTTATAGTGCATCGCTAGAGATATTTTCTGCCAATAAATGTTGATTACGGTCTTCTAAATGTGCGATCATAGTGTGAATATTTTAGCGAGCCGTCGAACAAAGAAGACTTTTTTATACGTCCTGTTTTTTAATTTCGTTTTACGCAGAAGAGAGAAAAGAAGCTTTTCCGTGCGTTAAAGAAAAAAAAAAGTGCGAAACAATGTCGTTCGAGGAATCTCTGGGTAATCATCTCGTTCCGAGCCACTGCCATTTGACGAGCAACCTCGAGGTAGTTAGAACTTGCTTTCGGAACGAGCTGACGTCCCGATCGAACAAGTTATCGGTGCGTGAACTACTTTTGCTTCCATTTCACTGCCATTACCATTTTCGAGCGACTGAATTGTTATTATGATCAAAAAAATCGCAGGTACAAATTCGTACGCGACGATTATAACGAGTATGCCAAAGGCTCGGACAAAAAGAAAAATAGATAGCAATTGCCTCGTTACGTTCCGAAAAAGCCTAAAGTGCGAGCGTGGAATGGGGTCAGGGTGTAGTTACTAGTTGACAATTGAAGTCGCTTGCGCGTACCGAAAGGATTAATAACGAGATAAGGAATAAAATTCTCCTTCATCATTTGTCCCAGACCTCTAACTACATACATGCTTAAGCTTATTCGTTTTTCCGCGGCATCCGGATTAAGATGTGACTTTAATCCTCCCCCCCCCCCTCTCCATCACCTCCGCCTCCCCCGTGATAACGAACTTCCTCTTACGGTTCGTTGCAATAACGCAAATGTGTCAAGTCGCCGTTATGTATCGCGCTGATGATACAACGAGAGGCGAAACCTTCGAGATTTATCTCGCGATTGGCGTACCGTGTTACCGAATCTTAATCCAGAACCGCTATTACTGTGACGCGATGCACACACACACACACACACACACACATACATACATACACATAATACAACTACTCTATCACTTGTACATAATGTTAGAGAAGGAAAGAACAAAAAAAATCGAAGATTATATTTTTTCTATCGATCCAAAAACGTGGTGAACCTATCAACATCGTGCATCCGGGATTATTTAAGGCGTAATTTCGTGATCTTTGTACCGAATCTCTTTGCGAACGACGAATTGTTTCCCCGAGGAATCGTTTTTCTTTTTTTTTTTTTAAATAATTTAGAGCGTTACTTGGACTATCACCGAACACCAAGTGACCCTTACGTTCGTGCCGTATCTCTACTTTTAGTCGGTGATGTGTTTTTCGAGGTGTACCTCTCTTTATTGTAAATTATTGTAACCGAGCATGATACTGACCAATCGCTGAACGTAGCTTCAGACCACCACTCTCTCTTTTCCCAAAAAAATGTCTAGAAATGCGGCGAGTGTTTTAAGGATATTATAAATAAAAGAATTATGATTGTGAATATCTCTTGTGTTACGTTAATGTGATTAAAAGAGACAAAACATTGTAAAGAATTAAATAAAGCATACATTTTACATTTACTCGCGTTGTAGTCTCTCTCTCTTTCTCTCTCGAACGACGAGAATCAGGTAAATATTGGCGAACCGTTGTTTTATACACATATTTTTATTTGTTATATAAACTATTGTAAAAGAGTTACAATTGTACATTAAAAAGTCATAATGGGTAAATGACGATACCTACTGTGTGATACATGAATACCGCGATCTCTAGCTTAAAGTCATGGGAGCTTTAACATCATGCGTCCCTGTGCAATAGAAACATTCTTTAAACGTAAAGTGTAATAATAATCGATTTATAATTGAATAATAACTCGATTGAAATTCAAGATATGCAATTATATTAACGAATATTCTCTATGCAATTATATTAACGAACATATACGAGCCGGATGTGAAATGCAATTCGGAGAATACTGTACATTATAAAATGCATATTATATATCACTTAGAATGTATTGTGAAAGTCCGCGAGACACAAATTGTCCTCGATAAAGATTTCAAGAAAAAGATTCCGTTGCAAACGACAGAATCGGCTTATGCAAATGTTTTGCGATAAACAAGATCTCTCAATTGTACGGATTAACATGACGCGCGATTTTTGCCGCAAACAACGTAGGGAAAAGTGGCTAAAGTGCATTACAATGCCGCAAGCGCTTGTACTGTTCTGAAATATCGAGGAATAACATGTCGATAACTTTATTAATTCTTAAACAATCGCGTTTTTTTACCACCCTTTTTTTATGCTCTCGCTGACGTAACGCTTGTACTTTTCAGCGAATACTAACCGAAAACTAATGCCATTCGGAAAGCTCTCGCTCGGCCAGACGATATAATAATAGCAAAGTCCCCCCCTTCGTGATCCGATGTTACAAGTGGACGTAAAAAAAGTGGCCCTGAGTGGCAAGTTATAAATGCAGCAGCACCCCTCCCTGTCTCTCGCTCGTGGTTTCGCTATCAAATTCACGGCTGCGAATGCTCGAGCTTGTACACGTCGTGATATGCGTTACGTATCAGTGCGTATGGGAAACAGCTCTCCAGCAAATCCATCGTCAGGAATGGGGATTCTTGAACTATCTGGTCGAGCAGAAGATACACGGACTCCCTGTTCCGAGTCGCCTCCTTGTCCGCCTCTTGGCCCAATCTCAACAGGCTCGACGAGGCCAGGGCGAGGAACTCCTTCATCCTGTCCTCTATGTCGTTCTGCCCGCATATCGTAAACAGCGCGCCGAATATGTTGTTTATCGCGGTGGCCATGCAATGTATGTTGTTGGAGTGACCTTCGAGTGACGCCCTATAAAAAGAGTTATCATTCCGGGCCAATTTCGGAATGGAAACCGCCACGAAGACCATCAGCAGGCAAACGAGCAGGTGCTCGTCCTCGTCGACCTCAGCCTTCTGATTGCGCAGCGCGGTCGTCAAGGTGGGATCGACCTTGCAGGTTAAGCCGGCGGCCGACGTCATCTCGGAGACGACGCGCATGGGATCGCCGGACGGCAGGTGGTGTCTGAAGTCCAGTATGGAGCTCAGGAGGAACGGTATGCGTTCCTCCAGCACGTCGACTAGTGCCGACTGCGACAGCTGCCGGAAACTGAGAATCACTCCTATTATGGTAACTCGCTGAAGAACGTTGTCCACCTGCTGCAGCTTCTTGAATTGCTCCTTCATCACCTCCGGCTTGTCGAAATTCGTCCTCAGGGAGATCAGCACGTCCTTGTTGCCGGCCACCAGCTTCTTCAACTGTTGCACCTGACTGGCGATATGCCACATCAGGTTCTCGTTCAACATCTTCATGCCGTACGGCCCTATCAATTCCGCTAATGCCCTTAGCTCGTTAATGTCGGAGAACTCCTCGGCGTTAAACGGTATGGCACCTTCGACCGACAAGCTGACGAACGCCCGCTGATTCGCCGAGTAGCAAATGTTACCGGCGCTGACTCGCCTCAGCAGAACGTCCGAGTACCATTGCGTGTAGAGCGCGGCGATGGTCTTGTCGCCGTGGCTGTCCAGCTCCTGCGTTTGCTGCAACAAAGCGTTGTTAAAGACGCGCGTGATATCGATGTGCACGTAATTCTCGATCGTCTGAAGAACGTTCATGTAAGATCGAACGCTGACGAAAAGCTCGGATGGCTTGGCTATCTCGCTGGTGTCCGGATTGTACATGACCATTCCCACCAGCGCTCTGGCGAATCGCGACTCCAGATGTTGATGCAGATACTCTCTCGGCGCGAAGGTGTACTCCCAGACGTTGATCGTAGGGCAGTAATTAATGGCGTAACACAGCTCGGTGAGGGCCATGTGCAGCTTGTCCATCGTCGTCAATTCCTCCCGGGTCTTCCGATAGCTCTCTATACCGGGCTTGTGAATCTCGTACATGTTCTTCTTGTTCTTATCCTTCTTCTTGCGATTGACAACTTGCGAAATTAACAGAGCGCAGTGTTTCGGCAATAATTTGTCGCTCATGTTACACTGCTCGTCGCAGATGGTCGTGATAATGTTCTTGGCTTCTTTCGCCATCTCGTCCAGGAACATATTGACGACGGAGAGGCTCCTCTCGCGAATGTGATGACGCTCCTCCGGGCAGAGCTCGTGGGTGCAACTTTGGAAGTGGCTGCATAAAAGCGGAAAGGCGACGATATAGCGATTCTGAGCGGGAAACTCGAGACACATGTGAAATTGATCCTCGAATATCTTGCTGTAGAAGCAGAAGATGGATAAGTCGGACGTCTCGACCAACATCTCGTCCAAATTGTCGACCATTTTCGCGTGGAAGATTACTGTGTCCATAAAGGAAGCTAATTCTCTATTATCCGCCAGATTCATATTGCATTTCGCAATAGACATGTAGGCCTGCAGCCTATACCAATCCAGTCGAAAGGCACGGAAATCAAACAATTCATTGTCCTCGACCTGCTTTACGGTTAGACTAGCTATAGTTGAACACATATCACTAAGAATAGCCCCCTCGTCTTCCGGACATACCGGGAGATTCTGTATCATCTGATGTAAAGCAGGGGCGTCGAATCCCGAAAGAAACTGGACGTAATACCTTTGAAGCACCTGAGAATATTTTTTTACTAGCGCTCGCAATTCCTCGCAATGGAAGAGCAACTCTGGCAGCTGACGGTCCACCAAATCCTCGCTGCCGCGTCCCTTGCCTTTGCCTTGAATAGGAGGATTGTCCCCGTGTCTCAGCAGCCACAGCACTTCGTCCCTCGCGTGGGAGAGACCCATTAATACCAGCAGCGCTTTCGGCCCCAGAAGACCAGGCTGATCCGTCAAAATTAAACCTAGTTCCTTGAGAGCAGTCCTCAAGAATTTTCTTCTCTCCCTATGTCTGTAGCCAGCTTTTTGTACTGCTTGGTTGTAACATTCCTTCACCTCCGACACTCTCTTGCCGTATCCTTTCATGCCCTCGAAGAATGTCTGGATATACTGATGTATGTAAATCACCTCGTCTCTGAACAACGCCAATACCCAACCGGATTCCAGAGCGGTGATCCACAGCTTGCTCGGCTGCTCCTGACTCAAGAACGTGTGACAAAGAGTAAATCCCAGAATCACCCATCTCTCGATTCTGTCCAAGCTCAACGTCTCGCAGGACATAGTGTCTGTCGCGGCCGCTTTCAGTATCTGCCCGGGACTGCCGACGAGGCTCAGCTTCTGATCGGCACGCCACGTGTCAGCGGACAGGTTTCTACCAGGATACACCGGCCACAATGAGGTTAGGGCGTTCTTCAGCAATTTAGAATGCGGCACGAATTCCTCGGAGAGCTTCTTCAAAGGAGCGTCATAATCCATAATCATCTGACCTAAACGAGGAAAGCTGGGATCCGACTGGCTGTGCACCATCTCGTGAGCGGCGTTGAAGAGCCCCAGCACTGCCTTGCGATCCTCGACGCGCGACAGGAGGATCATCAGGCTGACGTACGTGACGACGAGGTCCAGATAACCTTTAGTCAAATCAAAGTTAATCGTGATATCCATGTGGACGCCGCATGCGTCCATGGTGGTCAGGAGCTCGCACACGTTGTCCTTGAAATCGAGCAGATCGACGAACGTGTAGTAGTACAACGACAGGGACTTGATGATCTCATTACGTATGTTCATGATGGTCTGCAGCCCCTTTATGTCGATGTTGGGGAACTTCCTGACGATCGTCTTGATGGAGGACTCGAGCGCCTTGTCGGAGAGGAAGGCGGGCTTCGACTTCGCGTCGCCGCATGCCTTCTTGATATTGTAAATGCGCGTCAGCATACCTACGCCCCGGTCGTTCAGGATGATCAGCTTCTCGGCCAGCTTCTGCTGGCTCGGCACGATAGGTCGGGCCATGACCAGCGTTGCTCGATCGGATCGGAGATCCCCTCACGCGATTCGCATTACTCGTCAACTCGTTCGCCAAACGTGAATGACAGCGATCGCTTGACCCCACCCGTCCGGGAGGGAGGCAATTTATCCCACCGGATGCGCCGATTGTATCCCCTGGTTTCCTGCAATGGAAAAAACGATAATTGCTTCACGCGCTCTCGCGACACATCCCCGACACGCCCCCCCGTCCCTCGCAATCCGCGTAGTACTCACCTCGTCGACGCGACATTACATGTTGCACGGGAACACACGAGATGCAATGCGCACCGCGGACACGAGATATATAGGCCGAGGCAGCTTGTATACCTGTAACTCGCCCGTCGTTGTGCTCCGACCTCCGACACGGAGCGCGTAACCGCGTGAAGCTACGCCTGCCTGACTGACAGTGCCGCAGCCGGCAGCGCAGCGCTGCTATCGGCGGACGCAGTGCTGCCAACGAGACGAACGCGAATCGCCTAGACCGTCCAGAGCCAACCCAGGCGTGCCGAGCGTCGCGAGCATATAAATTTGAAATCGCGGCTGTGCGCGTCGAGCTCCGGGTAACTTGAATCGCGGGCGCGTCGCGTCGTGCGTTCGAGTGGCGTGTATAATTGTGAAAAGTGCAATTTTGGAAGGTGGATCGACGCGACGACGGGTCCGATTGCTGGAAGCGACGTGGATCGACGCCGGGAGATAAACGGAGAACTGCGAGGGAAAGGAGGAAGCAGCCGCACAGCGACGCCGACCGGGAAATCTCGAGCTGCTCTTCGTCGAGTATTTCACGTAATGTAAGTACTGCATATCGATAGATAATGATAAAACGAGCGGAATTATATAATCGAAATACATTTTGTTCGATCATTTTGCGAAATTTTCTTGCGACCGAATTGCAAATGTAATGGCATCGAGAACGAGAAATCTGCGTCGTTCGACCTCGCGTGGGTCATCGCGTTTCGCGAGTAATCTTTTTCGATGACAATCGCCGCACGTATGACGTTCGCGCGAGTCAGGGGCAATCTCGCGGTGTGCGGACATAAAATACAGGAAGCGGATTAAATTGGAATTATATATAATTGGAATGAAATTGCATCTGCATCTGCCGTTTTCCGTAGCGGCAAAGCCACGGTATTCGCAAAGTTCCTTGCTTTGTCGCTGGTGCCATCTGCCAATGCGATCCTGCACTTGCTTAACCTTTTTTTTATCACCGTGGGCAATTTACCAACCGACCGACAAAATGTTTTATAAATATATGTTTACTGCTCAATTTTTGAATATATTTTTTAACGCTATTGTTTTATAAACTAGATTGAGATGTTCCTGAATTTGTGCAAGTTATATAATATGAAATCATTTAAAATGTAACAATTACTAAATTATTTAAAAGTGGTAATGCGCTTTTTAAAAATAGAGAAATGTGATTTAAAAATTGAAGAAACATATTTTATTGATATCATTTATTTATGAAATAAAAAATATACTCTAATATTGAAGAATGAATATATTAAAAATTATGAAAGTACACATAAAATTTAATAATACATGTATTGGCACAAAACCAAAGTTACATGATTTTATAAGAGACAAGGATACAGAGCTTTTTCGTTGTATAAATAATTTAGAGCGCGATCGCAGAAAGATTATATCAACGAAGGAAATTCATGCAACGCTCGCACATCGATATGAATCTGTAACGAAACGCGGGAGAGGAACGCATACACAGCATCGCGCAACCGAGCGCGCTAACAGTTTTCACGAAATCTAAAGTTAAAGATCGCTTCTTTACTCCGTGCCCGCGGAATGATTGATAATCCCGAAACGGCGTACATAACTTAGTATTTACAGAGAGATAATATATCACTCTCTCGCGTATATACACGCGCGGATACTTTGCGGATCGTATCGGCGCGGCCGCGCGAGTATAACCCAGAACTGATATCCGTCATACGTCAGAGGGAGGAAACGGCGCGCGGTCAGGCAAAAAAGTCATCCCGCGATCTAGATGTATGATAATGGATATAATCCTTCGGGTATCTTATCTCCTATGAGCGTTATTCGTTTATGAGCGCTTTTGGATGCCGTTCAATTCTCGGTCTCTCGGCGCTCCTTCTTGCCGCCCGCGACGCGGATCTCGGGGCCCTCCTCCTCCTCCGCGCGTTGGCTCGGTTTTACTACTTTCCCATTTTTCATTAGCACAATCAAACTGGCCGTACGCGGAGAAACAATGGCTTCTTGTCGGTCTTCGGCGTGGGCGTTTCTCCGCGCGGAGGAAAAAAAAGCGTATAGATTATCGACCGACAGAGAGGGGCTTGGCCGTTGTGTTTGCCCTCTCGTTCGCTTTTCTCGGACGCGAACCGGGAGAGAGAGAGAGAGAGGGGGGGGGGAGGGAGAAAAGGGAGAGAATGAGAACGATTCTCCTGGCTGGTCTCTCTCGATCGCAGCGAGCGCGAATCGCCTCTGTTGACTGCGAATTCGTAATTGTTTCCTGCTTGGAGGAGGAGGCCAGGTGGAATGACTAACGACCAATTTCCTTCGGCAGGCGAGTCATTCCCCGGTATGATCGATCCGATTATCGCACGGCGGCGTGCTCGTCCCCGCGATTTCGAGCCCGCGTACATCACGGTTTCCTCTTCCGTCTTCGCAAATCGCCGTCGGTCGGCGGACAAATCCCGCGCGAATCTTGGAAAAAATATCCGCACATATCGTAGGATTTCACGGAGCGATAAATCGGCTTTGCCCGATAAATCGGAATCAGCTTAAAGATTTAGTAAGGATTAAAACGTAGTGATACATCTATTATGCGGTTTAACGCCGTGAATAATGTCCAATTGAACAATTTATCTTCAATTTAGAATCGTCCGTGAAAAAAGAAATAATACTATTTTATCTGTATATATTTTTGAAGCTGTTCATATGTGTCGCCTTCTTTTAATCTCGGGATCATAATATTGGCTGTGATATTTGTCTCGTGCATAAAAAATTGAGGATAACAAGCTTTCGAGCTTTATAAAAAATATTCTGGAGTTATCTGTTTACTGCTAGCACACGGCGAAAATGAATCGGCTGTAAGAACAACGAAGAATATTAAAGTAATATTATTATAATAAAGTTAACGATATTATATTAAAATTATAGCAAGAGAGTGAGAGAGAGAAAGAGAGAGAGAGAGGGTTAATGATATTACGTTAAAATATATCTGTCTATATAGACTTAAACACGTAACCACGAAGATGTCCAACGGTGGCGTTTCCTAACGACGTATCTGGGGTAAAGGGGAGGCAATTGGGGCGGCTTTAATTATCTCGCGGGCTTCCTAACGTGCAATTAATTCCGAATGCGGTTTAGTTTAGCGAACGAAGAGCAAACAATGTATTACGCCCTGGGCCGTCTAAACGTGGATGGTTACCACGGAATCGAGGCTGGTGGGGTCGGTTAAGAGGCAATGGGGATAGCGTTAGGCCACTTTACGCAAATAGCATGGATCCTGCAGATAGTGCATACTTCCTGTAACGCTACCGCCATACGTACAAACGCCCCGTCCGTTTACTCGTCTTTCCACCCCTCCCCCCTTTCCGTCCCTCGCACCCTTTTCACGGTTTTCCACCCTCGCGTATCCTATCGCGGTCGCGAACGCGAGGTTAATGCTCCGTGAACCTGTGATGATTGTCTTCAACCTGCGTGAACTCGCGCGATTTTAGACGCGATTCTCGATTTTGCGGCCTCCGCTGAACGCGTCATCTCCGCACAGCACGTAATGTTCGTAATCTGTTTCGGCTTCAGTCATCGGCGTAACTAGAGTTTAAGATTAAGAAGAAAATAACACCTCAATTATTATTTTTTTTATTATTTATTATTATTTTTTTTTTTCGTGTAACTCACCAGTGAGGAAAGCATCGCGCCCCAAGATTCGTAATAAATGCGCGCGTTTCAAGTGTTTTTCAAGAGTTTTTACAGTAATTTCGGCAATTTTTTTGCGACTATCGAAAGTTCATTCGAGCGTTAGAAAAATCGCGAGATTTCTTTGCGAGATTTTGTACACAGGTCGAAAATTCAATTCGCCGCTCGTGCCACGAGAGCGAATTTACTTTTTTTTTTCTGAAATCGAAATTGAGCGCGTCGAGGAAGGCAACTCGCGTAGCAGAAGGGAACCGTAATTAACTCTGCTAGTGTATTACGAATCAATAGCATACGCGTATATTGGATAGCGTACTATTAGCATACGTGTATTTGTATATCACATGCTATTACGTATCACCCTCAAGCGACATGTGTGTATGTAATAGATGTGTAATATATAATATGTTGACAATCAAGATTGAAAGCGTTGCATATAGCTCAATTAGTGTTCAAGCAATAATTGAGAGTATCAAAATATTTTTCTCTCGATATATTAATTGCGCTACTAATAAACAAGTAAAACTTGTATTCAGAGTTTGTCCGTAAAATTGCGAAAATGAATTATTACGAAGGAATCACAATGGAATTAGGAAAACTTTGCTAAAAATTCTGTAATCTTTTCTTGCAATTCTACATATTAGTGATGCGAAATATATATTCTGATTGTGAGACTGAAATTAACAACAAATTATCTCATGGAATTTTGTATACAGAATTCGTTGATCGCGGTATTCTGCTACTATAAAATAGATTTTTTAATTCTCATTTTTAAGCTAATATTATATGGTTGATCCTTTTGCTTTGTTAAATAAAAAAAACGGTCGATTTAAGCAGAATATTATTTTTTCATAGATCGAAAATTTATAGAATGAAAGAAAATTCGGCAAATTTAACAAAGAAAAGTAGGGATATGCAACGAGAAAATCGGTGACGCAAGGTAGCCAGACTCAAAATGCAGAAATGCAAAGGAAGACAGGCAAAGGTGGTAGTATATAGGTTCGAAAAGAAAGTAGACACAGACTATCACATCTACTAGACTCACTAGAGAAAGAGAGAGAAAGAGAGAGAGAGAGATATGAAGGGAGGAAGAGAGGGACGAAAAGGCTGAAGGGAGACAGGGAGAGGAGTAGTTCGCGCGAAGCGAATGACTGTGATTCGTCCAATTATCGGTTGGCACCAAAAGTGCTGGGTCTGGCTCGTCTGCCAAATGGGAAATAGCCGGCGAACTGCAGAGGCAAGCTATAGCTGTAGTTATGGACCTACGGACTCTGCGCGCGGACTGTATGGATCCCTTCCCCTCTCCCTTCTCCTGTCTCTTTTCCTCCCCTCTCTCTCTCTCTCTCTCTCTCACTCGGCATGATATGGACACGGCACGGGGGCTGCCGGACGATGTAAACGGCAATCGCCGAAAGATAATTTCGCCCCGTAGGATTCGACGATTTTCTGTCGGGATGACTTTGTGAGTGCGCGCGCGCGTTCGCGAAACGGAAACCCGAAGGAATTGTAAAAAT